GATAGTTCGCATCGTTTTTCATCTAGACGGCCGGGCAAGTAAAGTCATAGAATTACGGTTTTTTTCATATACTATAGCTAACTAGCGTGCTCTCATCCACTTATCATTCAATTCAGAATTAATTATGAAAATTTTATCATAGTTTTTATGAATATTATCAATAGACTTGAAAAAACTCATAAAGTTGTTTCTAATTTTATATAATATCTTGGTTTGCTTGTGTACTTGTCAAAAAGTTTCTGATTTCATTAACATCATAGGTAAACATAGGTAAGTTTAATTCTTACTGTAGGGTCCAAACTGACATACTTGCTTCTAATAATCTTTTTGAAAAAAAGAATTACCACTAAAGGATTATTTAAAATCTCAGTTGCTTCTAATTTTATATAATATCTTAGTTTGCTTGTGTACTTGTCAAAAAGTTTATGATTTCATTAACATCATAGGTAATCATAGGTTCATAGGTAAACATAGGTAAGTTTAATTCTTACTGTTGGATCCAAACTGACATACTTGCTTCTAATAATCTTTTTGAAAAAAAGAATTACCACTAAAGGATTATTTAAAATCTCAGTTGCTTCTAATTTTATATAATATCTTGGTTTGCTTGTGTACTTGTCAAAAAGTTTCTGATTTCATTAATATCATATGTAATCATAGATTCATAGGTAAACATAGGTAAGTTAATTATTTTACTCTAAAACTGTATAAAATTGAAGATGCGCTCGCGCGGAGCAATAGTCGCAAAGCGGAGAAAAGTCTGGAAAAATATTGCGCTTGTGCATTTTGACAGATTTTTGTCTTCTCTTTTCAATAGAGGTATCATCGAAATGCATAAGCGCAATATTTTTCCAGACAATTTTCAAGACAATTTTTAGACAATTTCCAGATAATTTTTCTTCGGAACTCAGACTATATTTTGGTTGACTTTTGAATATAACACTTTATTTTAATTTAATTTTTTATTTTCTCGACGCCCGGGGTGATTTATGTACAGTAACACCGCAACTTTCCGGTCAAAGTCATCGCCGAGTTCGAATTTTGACCTAGTGCGCCGAGTGGGTTACGCGGAATGATATTTCCGCGGCAAAATCGCAGCTTCCTAGAGAAAGTCGTCGTCGATTCCGGACGGATATCAACCTAATGCTCCGAGCGGTCATTCTATAGGGTAATATTCTCGCGTAAAACCCGTGGAGAAAGTCATTTTCGAGTTTCGAGTTCGACCTGGTGCCCGACCGGGTTACCCAGGATAATTGCGAGAATCTTGATGTCGAGAGATTATTCATTCTTTCAATAATTCTCCAATAATTTTGCTCACAAGGAGAGCTTTTCAGGTCCGGGTCACAGATCTTTACCAAACTATTTTGGGGGACTTCTGGTACTCAATATTGAAGCTCCCTGTGCTTAGTTTGATCTCATAGGCCTCAGGGCCCATTTTCGGAGGATTTTCCACATTATAAAAAAATCGTTGTTATTTTCTATATCAAAGTACTTAAACGAAAAAATGCAACGATCAAAAGTTTTAAAATTTTTCAAAGAATCTGCTTGAATTATTTCAGAATTTTTGGGACCATCTACCACTCTCTTTAAGAAGTCCTGAAATCTATTAAAAAAGCGTCAAATTTGGGCCTCTTGAATTAAGTGATAGATGGTCTCGAAAATTCTGAAAAAATTCAAGCAGATTCTTTGAAAAATTTTAAAATTTTTGATCTTTGCATTTTTTCGTTTAAGTACTTCTATATCGATATAGAAAATGACAAAGATTTTTTTATAATGTGGAAAATCCTCTACAAAATGGGCCCTAAGGTCCATTGGATCAAACTAAGCACAGGGAATTTCAGTATTGGGTACCACATTAGGTACAGTATAGGTAAACCACAAAAAAATTTTGGAGCAGATCCATGACCCGGACCTGAAAAGCTCTCCTTGTCAGTCCTTTCTACAAAATCGCCCTTTAAAAAGGGGAAAAAATATCCCACATCAAGTCCTACTCAACTTCTCATCGTATCGCGAGAGAGAAAGTCGACGAAAAACGTTGTCAAGTCGTATCCAATCGTAAATATAGTACATCGATATTGGAAAATATTTACTTCGACTCCCCGGAAAACGTATTTTCGGCGGTAAACGAGCGAACGCGCGTACAACGTCTCTCGAGTCCGACACTCTCGATCGGCTCTCCGTCGCGTTGCTTACTTGCTAAAATTCGTCTCCTCGTTTTTACGAAAGAAGAAAAAATAAATTTTTTCAACTCCTTCGATCGCTTTCAAAATGGAGCTTGGATTTTTCGGACGATACATGCTGAAGCACTCGACGATCTTCGTCCTCACCTACTTGAGCCTGTTTCTGGCGCATCGGGCCTGGGTGATGTACAGTATTTACACGTTTCGCACGCGATTACCCAAGTACGAGGCTCCCGAGGCGGACGACGACTTCTGGAACGAGAGACGATAGGACATGCGGACACGATGGATTTGTAAATAATTTTTGTTTGGTCCGGGATCGCTATTGTGTACATTTATACTCTGCCTCTCTGCGTTGGGCATCTGTGACTGCGATCTACGTATTTATTAGTTCCTATAATTCCAACCGCTCGGTGACATCATCTTATCCAGGTAATATTTTCGTTTCGATAAAAATAAGAATGATCATTGTTTAATCGTAATTTCATTTGTTCGTGTGGTGAAAAAAAAATCAACGCATTCATTTCATAATCTCTTTTCGACGTAATTACTTTCGATGATATCTTCTGTTACTGTATTACGCATCGAGTCTTTTTCAAATTTAAAATAAATGTAAAGAATATCAGAGAAATCTGACAGCAGTGGTCATCGTGAAACTATCCAAAATTCTTACAGAATTCGTTGATAAAATGACATGACAATAGACATTTACGAAGCAGCAGAAATTACGTTATAATAACATCAACATCCTCGCAGCGAGTTCAAATTTTTGTCTTCCACTGTATTTACGTTCTTTCTGCTACAGCCAGATAGGCCTAGATATCCTCGTAATCTTTTATTTTATTTTCAATTACACTTTGAATTAACTCGCTCATCCGGAAAATTTTTTTCGAGTCGTTTCCTCGTTTCGAAATTTCATTTTCATTCGACAAAAGCCATCATCGACGATTCACCATCGCGATCGTGGCCTAGATTGAAAATCGACCATTTTCCCTTGTCTCCCATCAACGGCTCCATAGCTCAGCTGGTTAGAGCGTCGTGCTAATAACGCGAAGGTCGTGGGTTCGATCCCCTCTGGAGCCAATTTACTTTTGCATGACTCATTCCTTTGATAAAACTTTTTTGGACATATACGCGATTATCAAAAAGGACATGAGATTTGCCTTAAAAAGTGGGAATCTATGGTTTTAGGTTTTGATTAATTTATATTATTGAAATGTGTTTTATCGTTTAATGGTATGAATTCAATATTTTCCGCAAATTTTTATACATTTCTACATCTTACGGCTCGAGCGCGTCAAAACACACACTCACGTAACCACAGAAGATTACTTTTCAAAACACGCTCGAACATCGACGGAGAAATGTCGTTTATTTTGTTTACGATCGACGAAAGCCGCTCGCGGCTACTACATACTACCACAAACCGACAACTGACACACATATTTTTCATTCTCCTTTCGCAGCCGACACGGCGATACTTTTGACGCTACGCACGCAAGTTTTCAAGTTCTTAATTAACCACCCACACACACACACACGTACTCGTACCACTACTACTCGGTCCTACCCCTCCAAAAATCATGAGTCGCTCGAAGAGTCGTCGAAGTGCTCCAGCGGCGGCGGCTCTGACGCACGCCAACTTGAGATTGCACGCCGCGCGAAACAGCTGCGGCCAGACGCCCGACAATTCCGAGGAATCCTGCGGCAACTCGACCACCACTGCGTACTCGGCGGTCTTCGCGGCGGACGACAACAACAACAACAACAACGACGACTACGACAGCTCTTCTTCCATCAGGCATCGATTGAAAAGAAAATGCAGTAGAAACGTCTCGTACACGGACGACGACGCCTCGTACCCGGTCGAGGTGACCAAAAAATACAAAAAGCGCGGCAGACCCAGGAAGAAAGCAGCAGCGAATTTGCCGACGCCCGATCTTCAAGTGGGTACCGCACCCTCGATCGCGTTCAGGAAGGATATCGGCGTCGCGGAGTTGGAGTCGTACATAAAGTCGCGCTGGGGTGGACTCTTGAATTTCGACGACAAGAAGAACAAGAGGAAGAGGAAGAGGAAGACAACGACGACGACGACGACGTCTAGGAAGAAGAAGAAGAAGAGTCAAGCGGTCGAACTTCCCTTGGCCGTGGTCGAGTACAACGAGGCGCTCCGCGACAAGGGACCCGAACTGCCCGAGCCGATAATCGATTACAACAACAATCTCGGCGACGATAGTTCGAACGTGTCGTCGACTACGGCCACGGCGGCCGCGTCTGAGGACACGACAAAGATCTTCGTCGATCGTCCGGACTTCGCGGCCAGACTGGGCGAGTTGCGCGCGATCCTGCCCGCCCTCGCCGCCCGCCTGCAGAGCTACGAGATGCTGGCCGCGGCCGGCGATTACGTCGACTGCCTGATCGTGCTGTTCTATTATCTGGAGAGACGAGGTTCGTGGGTGATACGCATTATGTCTTTTTTTTTTTTAATCAACTTCGTTCGTTACAGAGGCCAGAATATCCAGCTCGATGATGACCATGGTCGAGGAGATGAGGAGGCAAGATACGGTGGCGGCGTTCGACGAGAAGGTACGACGCGGCTACGACGTCTACCTGACCATGATGGGCCAATGATAGTCGGCCGCATGTGTGCGAGACGTGTTATATTACATCATTATTATTTATTTATTTATATATTTATTTTTTTTATATCGACCGCACAGCTCGTAATTCGTTACGAATTTGATATTGTACATATTTTTATTATATAGTTTGTTTATATAATCCCCCCACCCACCCTTGACTATTTGTATATATAAACTATGTAATACCGACGATTATCATAACTATAATTATGAGATAAAGAAGAAAATTAAGTATCTAGTCGGCGCTTTGATGACAACGTTATGTAACGAAACATTCGCCTCTTTTCTTTATAAATTTTACATTATATTATAATATTATAATCCACGACTATATACCCGGCGTTATACGATCGAACAAAAAGTTTACAAATAAAGCATCATCAGAGAATTAAAAATAATTCATTATAATTTAACGCGAAGCTGAGCTGCTGTCTTCGTTCGTTTCGAGCGAAAAAAATCTATTATTAGATTTTTTTTTTTCAGCGTCGTAGTACTTCCGACTATCGATCGATCGATCGAGGGGGCGGTTGAGAAATTTTCAAAAAAAAGGCGACAAAAATATATATACAGGTATAACGCGTGTACTGTGTAAAAAGGTTAATGCCGCCGCAAGTTTATATATAGTGGTAAACACCGAGAGAGGTAATCGACCTTTCGCGTCGAGCACGCGCGCGTCCGCGTGAGTCAATCAGTGCGTAATAGCAGGGTATACAACGACGTTGTTGTTGTTTGTTATTTTATTTCATGTTTTTTCATTTTTATACATTTTTCACCGCGTTCGTGATTCAACGCTTGCCGTGAAATTTCGTCGTATACACGCGTCGTAGCAAAAGAAAGAGAGATCGAGATTCGAGTCGTCGATAAATAGAGATACGATCGCGACACCTTATCTACACATATATGTTTTCGTGCGTTCGAAAAGTCGAAAACAACCATTATCATCGACATATATTTTACACGTGTGTGTGTGTGTGTGCAACATAAACGATGATGATCGTGACGATGACACACCGTATATCGCATCGTCTCGTGAATTGTTGCCTGCCTGACTGTGCCTCGCGCGTCATATGCCACATTCTATCGGGGGCCCTCCCACCGCGCCTATTCACACACACACACAGTTGAACACATATACACGTATACGTATATACGCACGCACGGATTGTGTAAAGAAGAAAGGCCAAAAATTGTGTTCTTGAACTACGCTATATATACGCACTCCTCGCGCAGTGGCGGTTGAGGTGCGCACCGAGTTAACAGTTGCGATTGTTCGCGTGCTCCATAAACACAAAAAAAAGCAACAACGAACGCGCGACTCGGTTGTTGTTGTTGCATTATGACGCAGCGCCGCCGCCGCCGTCGCCGCACATAAACAATCCAATTTTCGGACGCAACAGCCTGCAGCAGCAGCAGCAGTCTGCAGTCAGCAGCAAGCAAGCACTCGAATCGACCGAAGCGCGCTCGCGCGGGGACGAGATTTCTCGTGTTGTGTGTGTGTTGTGTTGTTTTTTTTTTCTTCCTGTTTTGACTCGCTCTCGCTCGTTCTCTGTCTGTGCCGTCTCTCTCTGTGTGTTATACCGTGCGCTTTTACTCGCGAAGACGCCTTACCGTTGTGTATACTATACATATTGCGACTGGTTGCGGAGGCTCCAAGATTATTGTTATTATTATTATTATTATGTGCTGGTGGTGAGGTGATTGCCTTCGATAAGAAGAAGCATCGAGTGTTACATCGTGAAAACAACCTCGTCATATCATCGACAGAGAGAGAGAGAGTGTGAGAGAGGAAAATAAGTCGTCCGGTCGCCAGTGCGGGGCGAGGTTATTATGACCTGCGAACGAGACGTCGGCCTCAGTACAGCATGGCTCGCCAGGAAGAAAAAACGGCGAAAGGTAATTACCGCGAATCGATTTTTGCATCGTACTCGTGCGCAACGATAATGTAAAAATAACAAAGAGTTCGTCGCATCGTCGTTGTATGCCTTCGCGGTTATCGCGCTGCTGTTGCTGCTTGACCTAACCTCTCGCTATATTTACGTATGCCATTAGCCACACAGTCAGCAGCGAGCAAAGCTTCTCGATACGCGATGCACTTGAAAATTTCGCGTGTAAACATTTTATAGATAGAAATGCACCCGAATTGCGACTGTCGCATGGTGAAGTCGGCTGAGTTAACCCCCCCTTGACTTCGAGTTTGTTTACCTTTATTATGCCAAAAAAAAAGAGAAAACAACGCATCGAATCGCAGCGTCATTATGCACTTGCATCGGAGACGATTTTCGCGTTACATGCAAAATACATTCATCATTGAACTCGCTCTCGACTCGACGCGACACTTTCGCGTGTTACATTATACACATTTATCGTTGCCGAGTCGATTGACTTATCTTTTTTTTTTACTCTTATATATATTTATTTCCTTGTATATACAGAATTTTCATACAGAAGAGGTATAAATATAATAAAAAACCATTAATTTAAGCTTAAATATACAGAATGGCCAAGTGGCGCTCGCTGTAATACAATAACAGAAAATTTACAGTAGAGGAATGTAGAATATCCATTAGGATTAGATCTTGATATTAAAGTTAAGTAAACTGTAACTTAGAAAAATTTTGACAAAAAAAAAACTAAGTCTTACTCGATTGACTTATCTATGCGTTGAGCGGTAACATATAATTTCGATAGTAAACAATGAGTCAGTGCAAAGAGCCACCCGAAAGAGAGCCTTGCAATCCAGATTTTCTGCCTGCATCGTTGTTATTTTTGCATACGGTCGAATATCGTGTGAGTGTCGCAGTCGTTGCATTGTGAATTTTTTTTCGTTTTGTTTACATATTATGGACGAAGTTTTGGAACGCGTATACGTGTGCATCTTCAATATTACAAACAATTTATCAACCGAGTGTAATTTGCCGTCTGCTAGCACTTGTCGTGCGTGTTTGTTTTGCAAGCATGACATGAAATCAAACCTCGAAACAAGATGATAATTTGCCATTGCTCTCTCTTTTTCCAGACTTAATGAGGGCATCGAAGTCGTCGATCGATCTGTGATGAGCGAGGATTACCACAAAATGAAGTACGATCGAAAGTCATCGCCGGAACTGCTGGACCTGAGCGAATTTCGTCACCGCGACACGATGGTGCACATACCGCGCGAGTACACGTACAACTTCTGGGCCAATCCGTCCGAGGTGGTCAATCTCACGTGCATGATGCCGAACGGCGTCTGCATACCGCTGGACGCGAATCGCGATCAGATCCTGTCGGAGATCAAGGAGGACCTGTGGGAGGAGTCGAGCAAGTATCCGCTGCACGGCCTGCTCAAGGACTCGGCCTCCTATCTCTTCGTGTGCGTCAACTCGAACGCCGAGTCGGAGGAGCTGAGGGACGAGAGCCGCCGGCTGTGCGACGTCAAGCCGTTCTGCTCGATACTCAAGCTCGTGGAGAAGGAGGACGCCAAGGCCGATCGTAATCTCGACTCGCAGATCGGTCTGCTGATCGGCAAGGGTCTGCACGAGTTCGCGGCGCTGAAGAACTCCGAGGTCAACGACTTTCGCTGGAAGATGCGACTGCTCGGCGACGAGATCGCCCTCGAGCGCCAGAAGAAGTCCTGGAGCGAGAAGGTGGACTATCAGTTCCCGACGGGGCTGGCGCCCACCCCCGACGTGCCCAAGAACATCGAGAGCCGCATGTCCAAGGACGGCAACGTCAAGATCGTGGTGAAGTTCGAGAACACGGAGACGTCGTACACGTTCATGGTGATGCACGCGACGACGCCGCGGCAGCTGCTGCTGCTGGCCCTCAACAAGCGCGCCAACACGCTGACCCTGCGCGACGAGCGACCGCGCGAGTACACCCTCAAGATATGCGGCCGCGAGGAGTACCTCATGAGCGATCATCCGCTCATACAGTTCGACTACGTGCAGGACTGCATCGCCAAGGACCTGGTGCCGACCCTCGTCGCGGTCAGCATCGGCGGCATACAGGTGTACAAGGACCACGACTACGAGGATCCGGACTCGGACACGATGACCCGGGGCACGCGGCCCTCCTTCTCCACGCTAACGCTGCGCAAGAAGGGCAAGTACACGTACTCGTGGAACATCGAGGACCAGTTCCAGTTCACGGTCAACGGCATCTCGCGGCTCAACTGCGACGCGGCCCATCGCAGCGTCGAGATCGGACTGCAGGCCAGTCTGTTTCACGGCGGCAAGTCGCTGTGCGAGAGCCAGAAGACCCGCGACATACCGGTGCGCCCGGACGGCAGCTGCGAGTGGGAGGAGCAGCTCGACTTCGACATCAAGATACGCGACATACCGCGCAACACGAGGCTCTGCTTCGTTCTGTACGAGGTCGGCAAGAGCGCCAAGGGCCTCAAGTCGCGCAGGCTCGTGCGCGACTCGTCCGGCAAGCAGGAGTGCTTCATACAGCCGCTGTGCTGGGCCAACACCACCGTGTACGACTTCAAGAGCCAGCTCAAGACCGGCGCGATGACCCTGTACACGTGGGCCTACGCCGAGGACATACAGAACGAGGACCTGCTGCATCCGCTCGGCACCGTGGTGTCGAATCCGCACATCGACCGGGCCGCGGCGCTCATGATCACCTTCCCGGCGTACTCGCGCGACCAGCTCGTGCTCTATCCGTCGCCCGAGAAGATGGTCGAGTTCGCGCAGAAGCTGTGCGAGTCGCGCGAGAGCTCGGCCGAGTTCGATCCCAGCTCCGTGAGCGAGAGCGCGCTGCAGCAGCACATCGATCAGCTGCAGCTGTTGGCCGACCGCGATCCGCTGCACGAGCTGCACGAGCAGGAGCGCAAGACCATCTGGTCGCTGAGGCAGCAGTGCCTGACCAAGGTGCCGACGATCCTCACCAAGCTGCTGCAGTGCGTCGAGTGGAACGACCACGTCGAGGTGTCCGAGGCCACGTCGCTCGTCCTCAAGTGGCCCAAGCTGCCCGTGGAGCGCGCCCTCGAGCTGCTCGACTACGCCTACGCCGATCACACGGTGCGCTCGTTCGCCGTCAAGTGCCTCAAGGACGTCAGCGACGAGGATCTCTCGCTGTTCCTGCTGCAGCTCGTCCAGGCCCTGAAGCACGAGAACTATCTGTCGTGCGAGCTCACCGAGTTCCTGCTGCGCCGGGCCCTCAACAATCAGCGCATCGGCCACTATCTGTTCTGGCATCTGCGCTCGGAGATGCACGTGGGCTCGGTCTCGGTGCGCTTCGGCCTCATACTCGAGGCCTACTGCCGCGGCAGCCAGGACCACATGCGCGGCCTGTTCAAGCAGATGGAGTGCCTCGACAAGCTGAGCAGCGCCTGCGAGCTGGTCAAGGCCAAGAAGGACCGCAAGCAGGCCCAGCAGAGCCTGCACGAGTTCCTCAAGCAGCCCCACTGCCGGGACGCCTTCTACAGCGTGATGAACCCCCTGAATCCGAGCTTCAGGTGGCGCGGCATCAAGATCGACAAGTGCCGCGTGATGGACAGCAAGATGCGGCCGCTCTGCCTCGTCTTCGAGAACGCCGACCCGTTCGGCGACGACGTCCACCTCATACTCAAGCACGGCGACGATCTGCGCCAGGACATGCTCACCCTGCAGATGCTGCGCATCATGGACAAGCTCTGGAAGAAGGAGGGACTGGATCTGCGCATGAATCCGTACAGGTGCATATCGACCGACAACAAGGTCGGCCTGATCGAGGTCGTGCTCAACGCCGACACCATCGCCAACATACAGAAGGAGAAGGGCACGTTCTCGGCCACCTCGGCCTTTCGCAGGGGCTCGCTGCTCGCCTGGCTCAAGGGCCACAATCGGGGCGAGGCCGCCCTCAACAAGGCCATCGAGGAGTTCACCCTGAGCTGCGCCGGCTACTGCGTGGCCACCTACGTCCTCGGTATCGCCGATCGCCACTCCGACAACATCATGGTCAAGCAGACCGGCCAGCTGTTTCACGTCGACTTCGGCCACATACTGGGCCACTTCAAGGAGAAGTTCGGCATCAGGCGCGAGCGCGTGCCCTTCGTCCTCACCAACGACTTCGTCCACGTGATCAACAAGGGCCAGACGAAGAAGGGCACGGCCGGCGAGTTTCAGCGCTTCCAGAGCTACTGCGAGCAGGCGTTCCTCGTGCTGAGGCGCCACGGCAGTCTCATACTGTCGCTCTTCGCCATGATGATCTCGACGGGCCTGCCCGAGCTGTCCTCCGAGAAAGATCTCATCTACATCAGGGACATGCTGGCGCTCGAGGTGAACGAGGCCGAGGCGCTCAAGATCTTCCGCGCCAAGTTCGACGAGGCCCTCTGCAACTCGTGGAAGACGTCCCTCAACTGGGCATCGCACAACATGGCCAAGAGTAATAAAGCGACTTGAACGTTTAATTTTAAAACCACTCTACTTGTACATGTATAAATAAATGTATCTTTTTCATATGTATGCTTAAGCGATACGTTGATGAGAATTGTTCGTTTCAAACGTGACGTACCAACGCGCTTGATAATTACTTGTATTGTAAAAAAGAAAGAAAAAGAAATCAATCTTTGTTTGATATTGCAATCGCGTGAAATGTTATGTGTATTGAAGAGCCATTTATATTTTTTCTCAATTGGTCTACATTAAATGTATATCAATAACTTCTATTTAGAATGGTAGCGTCACTTTAATTCACAGTGAATTGATTTTGTAAGATATATCTGTGATTTATTTGAATAAAAAAATTGTTTATTTCATTCGCTATAAAAATATGTGTAATATTGTTACTTATAATACGTGAGCATCTTCACCAAAAAATGTATCGGTATACGCATGCAGGTGTTTATATTATAAATTATGATGTGAGATGTGTATGTACATAATATGAATACGAAGTACTCTAATTTTAATTTTTTAATTTTATATTTTTTCTAAACTCATAATCATACAATTGCTATTTACAATATGTACAAATCTTTAGAACTCATAAATACCTTGCTTCATCATCGCGGGTTAACAGTTCAGCTGTTTCAAAATTAATACTTCAGAATTTCTTGAAATATCAAAAATTAGATCGAAAATTTATCAAAGATTCCCCAGTAGAGAAATTGTCAAAATTATGAAGATTACAGATGAAAAGAAAGTTGAGTATAATTGTTGTACATGAGGGTAAGAGAAAAATTAAAACACAAAACTAAATAAATAAAAAAAAATTAAATTTATCGAATGATTTTAACAAATTCTAATTAACCGGTAATGAAAAGATGAAAAAATTTAATTAACTGATTCAAAGGTACTAACTATTCTAGAAAATCTTTTCAAATGTCTTAATTATCTGAAAAATTAATAAAAATAAAATTTAATGAAAAAATATGAAATGGAGGACGATTTTAATACCAACTTGGTGCATCTACGAATTTTGCCTATTGGTCCGACAACTGAAGCTTCTCATCGATATCATGCTTGCAGAAAGCTTGAGTCTCCACCGGTTTAAACATGTCGAAGTTGAAAAGTATTGAGATTTGAATTAGTGCAACGTAAGAAATTTTCAACAGAAAAAAATAATAAATCTTTTCGCAACAGTACCTAATTATATATTTCTTTCTTATGGGCGGTGAAATGTCATTAAGCGTATTGGTAATTACGTCTGTGAAGCTTTGATTCATCGGCTTGTAAATTACATTTGCATTACTGGTATTATCAGGCTAAAATACGTCAAAAATCATTGTTCTTTCTGGTGGACTTGAATCGATCACGAAAACCCCCTCAGCAGTCAGCGTCCGCACTAAATACACAGACGTTACTATTTGGGAGCTGCTTTCACATTTAGTTTAGATACGTTTATCGATCAGTGTTGGTATCCATCGGTATATGTAATACCTCAAAAGGAGTAGAATAAAATAATATTCGAATCTTCTATTGGTCCGATGATTGGATAAATAAATACTCAATATTCCGTTCCAATCGGTGCAAGTCGTTCATTCAATATCGTTGATGCATGAGTTAATATCGCGTTTTTCTTATCCCTTAAACCCTTGAACCCTTTTGCCACTCCTGTGCAGTGCCGAACAACGAAAACTATTGTGCAAAAAAATTATTTAAATACCGTTATCTCCTAATATGTATCCTATTACGTTCTCTCCTTTTTTTCGTTCAAGTCATAGTTATTCGAGTAAAAAAATCGTTATATCTAAATAACATAACGCAAACGATTTTTTTCGCTAAACATTCAGTGCAAAGCATATATGGTCCAGTCATCTGCTTCATCATAGCTTATATAAATATAGGACTCGATGAACCCAACCCATCAAATCCAAACTATCAGGGAAAGTAGCCCCTATTATTTGCAGCTGGTAGTGTATTTGTGACTCTCTCCCTCCCACACATGTTAGTGGCCGCATTTATATACACATAAGACAATATCCCTCGCTACAATATAGCTTCCCTCAACGCCTATACGTGCTCGGATCGAAGTTTATGCGAATACAGTCAGTAGTAGTTACGGAGCCGCAGCGAAGAGAACAAAAAAAATATTACATTGACATATCGACTCCAGCAGCGACAAAAAGTGAAAATTATTTAATATTTTAAGTCTTAAGCGATTGAGTTTACGCGAAAGTATGTGACACGATGGGCAACGTGAAACTTGCAATTTTGAGCTGGAATTTGAAAATTTGTCGAGAAAAAGTCGATTCGGAGATCAAAGAAGAACTACCCCTACTTCTCGATCAACTCGACACTTTAATCCAAGAATGGCAGGGTGAATTACCAGATCTTGGCAATTTTTTTCGCCGCGAAGATATCGACTGGCTTCTCACGCAGGCTTCTCATAGCAACACAAGATCACACTCACAACGTGATCAAGGAGAAAGAATAATCGGGTTCGTGGCTCGCAGCGGCTATAAAGACGAGCCCGACCTGGATAAATACGGCAAGCCAATTTTGCATCGCACCACTGCACTGCATCATTTTCCTGATGAACCAAGCTATCTATGTCCCGAAATTTTCATTACTACGATAAGTTACTTATTTCAAATTTACGACCGGTTTGACGTTAATTACACCGACGAGTCGGGCTGCACTCATTTCCATGTGGCCTGTAGGTTTGACTTTTTGGACATCGTCAAAAAATTCCTCGAGCTTGGCCAAGATCCTAATCTCCTTTGGAAAAAAACAGGCGAGTCGCCGCTGCGTTTGACTCTTATGAACCGTCGCTCCTTAAAGACTGCCGAATTACTGATGAGAAACGGCGCCAATTTGAATTGGGCCAACAAGGACGAAAAAACTCCTCTGCATTGCATTTGCGGGATGTTCTGTGATCCCTATGACTTAATGGAGATGTTCTTCAATATCAATGACGAGTTAAATCAGCCAGTGAAAGTCGACGCCCGAGACAAATGGGGCATGACACCCCTACATTTTGCCGTAGGGAAGTACAAGAATGTGACTAAATACCTGCTAAGAAGAGGTGCTGATCCTAAATTAGCCAATGATGAAGGATCGACTCCTCTGCATTTCATAAGTCGGAGGTACGGAGAGGATGACTTTGCGGAGATGTTCTTCGAGATTAACGACGAATTACGTCAGGAGCTGCAGGTCGACGTCAGGGACAAGAAGGGCCAGACACCACTACAATTAGCTCTACTTTCAGGCAACAAGAAGGCGGCCGAGATTCTGCTGAGACGTGGCGCAGATCCTAATTTAGCCGATTTCGAAGGATTGACTCCTCTTCACGTCATCTGCAACAGATACTACTATCTGTTCGATGGCTTGGTGGAAATATTCTTCAAGATTAATGACGAATTAAATCAGCGAGTGCAAGTCGACGTCTGGGACAACGAGGGCCGGACACCGCTGCAATTAGCTCTACTTCGAGGCAACAAGAAAACGGCCGAAATTTTGATGAGGCGAAGTGCTGATCCTAATTTGGCCAACGAGGACGGATTGACCCCTTTGCACAGTATTTCCAAATATTATTGGAATGACGATGTGGCCAAGATATTCTTCGATATCAACGATGAGTTAAATCAGCGAGTGCAGATGGATGCAAAGGACAAGTGGGGTCGGACGCCGCTTCAATTGGCTGTGGCGAATCTCATGCCGAATACCGTCGATGTGCTCTTGGATCGTGGCGCCGATCTGTCCAGCTTCGTTTTTCCAATTGAGAGTGATTTTGACGAAGGCTTTCGATTTGCGAAAGCACGACGAGAAAATAAATTGAAGCTGACATCTAGACTGATGGCCGTCATTCAACGTCTCGAGAAAAGAGGATACGACCTGGATCGAAGCGACGTTCTGATGGTCATGAAATTGTTCTCCAAGTACGGATTTTTCGAGAAGTCAATGAATCTCGCAAAATGTTGGTATAACGACGAGGAGTTCGCGACGGAAACAAAAAAAACAATGGTAAATTCGAGCTTGTCGCTCTACGACGTGATCCAGTTACGACCCGAAGAGGCGACAAAATTACTCACTTACGAGGACTATTACAAGTTTTCGCTTGGTTTTCAATCGTGGAAATTTACCGAAATTCATAGTGAGGCTTATCGCATGCATCTGAGCGAAAAAATATCAAGAGGATTTTTCTGGCGTTGGACAATGGATCCTTTTATGGAGCTTATCAACTACAGGTTGCCACATCTCCCTTGTGAAATGATCATGGATAACTTGGAAAACGAAGATTTGTATCATATTTGTGTGGCAGCTTCAAGACAAAGTTAGTGTTTTTGATTAGCATATTTACAGCATTTTAATTTTAACTCTCGTATCTTACCAATAAAACAGTCGAAAGTTAACAGAATCAATTAGTACTTCAAAACTAAAGAAGATCCTAGCCATGATAACATCACATCCAATCGCTCCAAGATTCATCAACCATACTCATCAATGCATGTCTTTGACTGGGTCATCTACCTCAGCTCAGTGGAAAAAAGCACAAATGATCTCAACCGAAAGGCAGGAAAAACTGCAACGACAACTTTTCGTCCTATTGATCAATCAGTCTAATATTATAGCTGTCAGAAAATTGAAATAGTCAACCATAAAGCAAGTCAATCGCCAAGTCATCTCAACGATAGAACAAGCCAATCGAATCGCCTATCAAATTCAAAAATCTTTAGAATAAAAGCTCTTTACATTAGCTGTTTTGAAGTTGCTCGAGCTTTCGACTAATTCTGACGAGGTCCACATCTTTAGGAACCAACAGCTGAGCCACCAGCCTCGAAAATTAAAAAAACTATGACTCAAGTAGCAGTGGAATCTTCTTTCTGTTTGTTTTTTCTTTCGATACAATTACGATTTAGAGAAACTTGTTAAAGCTCAAAATCATGAGATATGGATACCGGTTCGTTCTTTGCTCCCTACTCTTGTATATAAACGCCATATCCCCTCATTCATTGTCACATGAATTGACAGATTGCAAATAAATATGAAATAAGAAAATGTTATGTTGTCTGTTATTTAATGTTGTAGATTTTCCATGTTATTCTCACGTAATCGAGCTTCAAAAAAATTGACTTGCAACCGAGAGTGAACTGTATAAGCTATGGCTAAGCATGAAGCAATTTAGATTACTTTTAAATGTACTTATTTCTGACACGCGGGAAAAACGTAAATATAGCGAAATAGGGCGCTGGTGTGTCTAAGACAGACGGCAATAATAACAATACGACACGGAATAGCATATACAAAGTCCAGAATTCGCTATGTTTACGTGACTGCATTGTTTCAAGTTCTTGAAGGACTAAATTCTGAAAATACTAAATAAAAAGGACTAGTTCTGTGAACATAATTTGTATTTCGTACTGGGCAAATATCAGAATATTCACGTAGTCAACAAAAAATTTTTAAAAAATATCAATAATCTTGTTGTTTTGTAAATTAAAAATAAAACTCAACTATATGTTTTCCATATCTGCATACTAAATTAATTTCAGTCAATTTGTAAAGTGTGATCAATTAATTAACCAGTCTGTAATATAAGTAAGTTGCTGTACTAAAATATTGCATCATATTCTGATTTACTTTAAAGCTGTCAATTTCTGAACTGGTTTTAACCAGACTTGGGAGTTATACTTTTTTATTTATTTTTTATTTATTAAAATAACTATGCACATTTTTCAATTCAATCGATGAACAACAATTTAACTATAATTGTTGAATCCAAGGCAGTTGAATTCAATTGAGATGGTCTCTGATCATCATACCCTACAAATCACTCGAAGAGGCCTCAAAGTTTGTCACCGACATCCAGTTATCATCCTTGTTAGAAATAAGTCAGCACAAAGTCATAATGAAAATCAAGACTTCCTGTAGTAACATGTCGGAGAAACAACTGGCTAAATTATGTGTTAATCTTCTAAATTGTCAATCCACGAACAAAGGAAGAATAGTGAGTGTTATTCACTTTAATTTGAATTCTATTGTTACACAACATAAGTTTATTGGGATTTTTCTACTGATGTTAACTGCCAAGTCTAGACTTTTTGTGCAGGTTCAAACTTGTACAAACTCTTCCCCCTCTTATTGCTCAACCCTTAAAAAATAAATCATCCAGCCTCTGACGTGTAAACAGCTTGTTCCTCTGCTGAATCATGACTTTCAAACATTTTTAAATAAATAATATTCTGATAGATAAATTTTTCAACTGAATCATTCATTTACTTTTAAAAAACTCATTAATATATCTTACTACTTTTAATTTTTTTTTCAGACAATCAAAGAATGTAATTCTAATATGAAAGCTGCTACATGGAATGCCTATCATTTAATGAGTAACAGAGCAAAAACAATACGTTACTCATCAAGAAGTAACCAGTTTTGAGCACTATCAGAAATAACAGTTAATAGATAATTTTTAGGAAAGTCAAGATCATCTTGAAGAACAGACAACTAATGAAGACAAAATCATAGAGACTAACATTGAAGACTTAACTAAGGATAAAGTCTTGATACGAATTGGTCATGTTCAACTAGCTGTCATGACTGAAGACATTTAGAATAGATTGGGTAAATATTTTTTACTAACCTGTTAAATTTATCTTACCTCTGAATTGGAATTACTTTGTCTGAAGCATGGGTTGAACGCCTGCCTCAACTTTTACAATCTGACTGTTTTAATATTTTTGATTACAAGTAAGATAAATAATTTTTGACACATTTTATAGTTTTGGATGTAAATTAAAATTTTTTAATTTTTGCATTTAACAGAACATCATCATGCTTTAATTTATATTATTTTACATAAGAATTAATAATGTTAATTTTGTTTCATTTAATTAGTATTATTTTCTTCATTTTCTGAAAAATGAAAATAGCTAACATGTAATACAGAATAAAGTTATAATATAAAATAAAGAATAACTGCAGAAATACTGACCTAACTTTTGAAAAAACTTTTCTTTTTCTCCAGGAAATGCAAAATAATTACTGTTCTCTACTGTTACTGGTTGGCACACTCCTGTAATGGCCTCACTTGGATACTGTTGGGTTCCCTTTTTACTATCATTAAAATCAATAACCAATAGATCTAAGCCCCAATCTTTGAATTCTGGCAGGTCAACGGAAATCATAGTCAGGAATGCCTGATCCATGGCACCACCTTCGTACTCTTGGTTTCCTTGCTTCGCCAGTTCCAATAAATCATTGATTTTTTTGTTGTTGAACATAATAATTTTTGTTGTTTCTAGCATCTTGCCTTTCGCCCAAGCATAGGCTCCACCTGCCTCTGCCACTTCTCTCTGGTCAGCAGTCCACCATGAAAGTGGCTTAATAATCGGAATGTATCGGAATGTATAAATTATCGCTTTACTATTTTAAAAATACATGATATTACTAATATACTTACAATGTATTCTGCAGTTTTTTCTCTTATCTCCTTTTCGATGGGCTCTACTTCCCCTTTTAAACAATATGGATATAAAAGGAGAATTTTTCTTTTTATATTGTTTTGGCTTTTCAATCCGCAGAACAACGCCATATTTTTAAATTTTCACTATTAGCTGTTAGCCTGTTCTTAGCTCAATAAGCTACTAAAGAGCAAGCAGCACAGAATGATATTGCTTTGTATTCATACGCGTCGGTAGTCGGTTAAATTTTAGCGGTCAAGTGAGTAGTATCATTGTTGACATGTACACACAGGTATATTCATAAGAAAGAAAGAGAGAGAGATAATCGCGAGATTTTACGTTCTTGTCATCCTTCTCTTTCACACGTCTGTTACACATAGCATTATAACGACTCCGAAAACGCACTGGTATGCGCGAATCGGTTGTACGTACCGCATGTAAACAAAACTTTTTTCGTCGTCGTCGTCGCGTACAGAAACTACTACAGAGTAAGCGAGGAATATATCGGAATCATCATTTTGTGCAGCTCGAGAAAAGTAGGAAAAAACAAGTTTCATATACAGTGAAACAATCCGTCATTGGTCTTTCCGATTGTATTGTTATGAAGGCACGTTCAAAAGTTTTCGATTTTTGCGCGCGCGCGCCTGTACGACGGCTGCCAGGCTTGCAATCGGCCCTCGGGTAGAATCAGCTGTGGCGTCGCAGGCCGGCGCCGGTGTTTCTTATAACATAGCGGCAGCAGCAGCGGCACCAGCAGCAGAAGTCAAGTCAACTATGTTGTTTACCTTGCGTTCGAGTTTCATCGACTTTTTCGTTGTTGTTGTTGTTGTTGTTGCTGTCGTCGACGTCGTCGTCGTCGTAGATTTTTGTTGAGTCGGTGTTCTCTTTCAACTGTGCTCCTTCAATCGCGAGATGCCGAGGCCGCCGAGATTCATCGTGCCGCACGAGTACGACGCCTCGTTGCTGCCGTTCCTGGACGAGAACGTCGTCGTGGTGTCGATCTTCGGCAAGAGCACCTACAAAGCCAAGTCGGACAAGTCCAAGATGGTGAACTCCATCCTGGTGCCGGCCATCAACGAGCATCCCACCATTGACAACGAGGCAATGGTAAGTGGTAATATAATCTACCATGATACGACTGATAAAAATGTATCTGTGTCAATGATTGCAGTTTGAAATCGAAGGTTACTTCGACCAAAGAGTCAATGCGGTATTCTTACACTTGAAAGGATGCTTCGACGCTTATACTTTATCAAAACAGTACAATCAGTTCGTTGAGAACATGGAGAAGAAGGATTTCCTCCACGCTTGGGCCAACATGAAGGATAAATATTCCAGAGCACTTCTGACACTGTTTCATATATCGCACATTCTCATACTCACGCATCCTACTCATACGTTTGACTACAGTTACATTCCCTTGTTCAAAGCACTGGAAATAGTTAGGTGCGTATCATTCAATAACAAAAATTCATAATAAGTAAGTAGCTTACAAAGGTCTTTTATTGCAGAGAAAAAGCAGGTTCTCATCTGAGAGAACATTTGGAATCCAAAGCTGAATACGTATCAGAAGCCTGGGTTAAAAATACTCGGCCCTGTTCTCCAAGAATGTTATTTTATTTTGAAAGGTGCCCACCAGTCTTCCAAGATCCCAATAGTGAAGCAAATATTACAAAGCTAGAGCATTCTTTGGAAGATTCGATATATGAAGTGTTAAGGAAAAACAAAATAGTAAATAATAATAGGTAAACTTGATGAAACTTGAATTTCTAGTGAGTTATATCAGAAGTATTAATTTCTTTTTCTTGTTAGTTCTAATTCTTTGTTTGCCATACCCGTAAACCAAGAATTTGTCTTTGTAAATACTGAAGAAGAGGAGATGCGAGATGTTATAGAATACATGCACAGAGGGTTTGCAAAAGCCTGCGCTATTTCTGAGAAAAAAAAAACTGAAAGTAAATTAAACAACAAGGAAAGATATAAATACCTCAATTACAAACCTACAAATCCAATGCAAGCGAACAGGGCACACAGGATGAGACACACTCGAGTCTTAGAACGTAAGTAAAATTAACTTCCCTGCTATGTTGACTTTGATCATTAGCGATTCAGGAATTTCATTCAACCTTCAGCACACGAATTCGACTCGTTCGTTCAGAGGCACATCAATATGGCTTTCTCCACTGGCTTCGACGACAACGTTGGAAGAAATCCAGCTCCGGCTTATTTCGAGGTAAATCCTAGACGAGAGAAAAAAAAATTTGCTCTCATTTAACTCGAACCTCTTCCCCGCTTTCCAGACTCCGACTCTGGCTGGATTTTTCGAGGTGGCCGGCCACGTGCACGACTTCTTCGTGCACGGGCGCAGCAAGGAGGTGAAGAATCTCGAGGATCTGCTCAACACCGACGTGAAATTCAGCCGCAGTCGCTGTAGCAAGATAATGCCGCGAGCCTGCGCCGCCTATCAGGAGGGCCTGCCCCAGCACTACACGCGCTCGTTCCACGAGCAGAAGCTCGCCCAGGCGATGGCCGTGTTCGAGATGCAGGCGCGCGGCCCGCTCTACGACGAGTTCGCCAAGCGGCTGCAGGAGGAGTGCGACAAGCACTGGCGCACCGGCCGCCAGATGTGCCAGGTGCTCTCGCTCACCGGCAATCCCTGCACGAATCCGCTGCACAAGGGCGGCAGCGAGGGCGCCGGCGGCGGCGAGCCCCTCGAGGGCAGAGACGACTACGAGTGAGTGTCTCGTTGTACCCTCGTTCATTGCTCGCGATGTTCATACGAAAAGAGTTTTGTTTTGTTTTTTATTTTTTTGCTCGCATTCTTTTCGCAGCGACCTGAAGACGCTGGAGCACTGCAGCGGCGTGCGCTACGTGTGCGCGTGCAACTGCGGCGCGACCCAGGGCTCGCGCGAGGATCCCTTCAACGTCAAGCAGGCGAATCACGACTACTTCCAGATGCTCGGGCTGCAGTGCGGCTGCCACCAGCTGGAGTCGCACAAGTTCCCGATCTTTCAGCCGAGCACGCCCACGTACAGGGCCGCGCAGCTCTTCGACACGTCGTCCAAGCGCAAGGACTCGCTGCGCAGCGAGGGCGCCGCGCCGACGCCGCAGCAGGGCCCGACCCAGGTGTTCAGTCTCGGCGTGCCGGACGAGGTCACGGCCTACGGCAGCGGCGGTCAGTCGCCGCCCGCCCAGAGCGATCATCATCAGCATCATCATCACCACCATCATCATCATCATCGCGATCATCATCAGGACGAGGATCGGCACAGTCGCAGCTACATCAGCGACAAGCTGCCGCTGAGCTTGACCATCAACGGGGACAGCGAGAGCAAAGTCGTGATCGCGGTCACGGAGGCCGACCCCGAGACCAAGGACAAGTCGCTGAATCGCCAGCCCTCGACGACCGAGTATCTGCCCGGCATGCTGCACACCGAGTCGCCGGCTGGCCTGCTGCCGCAATTCTCCAGCTGGTCGCTCGTCTGTCTCGGCTCGAGCAGCATCTACTCGCACAACATCGGGCTGCAGCACCAGCAGGGCATGCTGCCCAACTCGGCCTTTCTGCTGCCCTGGGACGTCACCGTGCGGCTGGAGCATCAGCAGCAGACCCAGAAGGAGACGACTCGCAACTTGTGGCAGGCCTCGCCGGCCGCCACCAACGAGAACAGCACCACCACCGGCAGCAGCAACGCGAACGTAAGCAACAACAACGGCGGCGGCGGCAACAACTTCCAGCAGCTCAACTTCTATCCGAAGGGGGCGAAAAATACGCGCAGCATCAATCCGGCGACGGGCAAGAGGAAGCGCGGCCGGGACTTGGTAGTGAAGATCTTCATCGGCATCGAGTACGAGTGTCCCCGGGGTCATCGCTTCATGATGGCGACGCCGGACAAAGTGCTGAAGGCCACCGGCATCGGCACCATAAAGGACAACGGCAATAAAGTCACCTCGGGCGACATGCCCTTGTACTTCCCGTGCCCCTGCAGGTACATTTCTTTTCTCCTCTTTTTTTCTCTCTCTCTACTACTACTACTTTTATTATTTATATATGAACGAAAAAATCGCAGACAACAAAAGCCACTGATCGCTCAGCTGATGAGGATACACGTGGTGACGCCCAAGGCGCCGGTGCACGTCACCCTGAATCCCAAGGTGCAGACGGGCCCCCAGCCCAGCCCGATCTTCGTCACCGGCTGCGAGGAGCCCATGAAGCTGTCACAAAGTGCCTACTGGATCCTACGATTGCCGTATCCTTTGTTAATTCAATTATCGATTATCATTCGTCACTCGTTATCTCGTGAAATTTTTCTTAACTCGTACCGATTATAAATAGATACGTTTATATGGGCGACAAGGGTCCGTGCCTGCCGCCCAAGGAGCTCGGTAACGTCGCGTCGCACGGTAGACTGCTCGCCGGCATGTACGGCATCAGCGAGGCCGTGAACGACAAGAAATGAGAAGAAGAGACGAGCGCTCAGTTTTTTCCTTGAGAAAGCAAAAAAGACTCGATAATAATTTTTATACGCTTGATAAACTACGAGAGAATTACGATGTTACATACATATATTTTTTCCCCCTTGTAAATAATAAATCGATTTTCCAACAGCATTTTTAAACGATTTCGATGGATCATTTCTATGATATACCATAGGGGGGAGGGCATCATCTATTTATAGGTTTCGATCGATTTTCAGTTCAATAATAAAATTAAAGCTTCGACCGAAAATACTCGTACAAGCGCGACGCGTCGTTGTTACCCCCCTTTGAAGATAAGAGGGGCTTTAAAAGACGACGACCTTGAGCTTGAGAGCGGAGCAGCAGCCCGGAGAGCCGTTACGATTTTATATATATATATATAGGTATAGGTATATAATAAGAATGCGGCTATTCTGATTCGCTGCCGGCGCTACTATCTGCTGTAGTATATATATACTGGGCGCAAGTGCAGCGTGTCCCATGTGACTTCGCTCATTCGCTGCGCGGCTCTCACTCTTCTATACGGGCGAAAAATTGGCAGTTACGGATTCGGCGCGGCAGCGAAACAGGCACGGACTTGCACGCGCCAGTAGCCTAGTACTCGTCGAGCTTCATATCGTATTCGCGCGCGATAATTTCGCGCGTGTGTTGCTGCTCCAGTATACATAGATATATACGCCGAATAGAGCAATAATAACGCTGTGTAACGTCGCTGTGTCGCGCGCTATACCGTCCGATGTCTCGTTATGTAGATCTTGCTGGAAAATCGTAAACAATCGCGTGGCCGACGAAGAGTCCGCTGCTTCGAAGCGACGTTTCGTTGTATACATCGATTGTACGGTGATTTTCCTGTGCTTTTTTTTCACGCGTCGAGTCAAGAGGAGGCGAGGGCAAGGTGAGAGATTGATTCTTCTTTAATTGCGCGAAAACTCGTGTGCGTAAACGCGGTATCGCGCGCGTGCTACAGGTATATATCGTGGTATGATGCGGCCGCAGTGTTGTGACATGTTATTTTCGTAACCGTTTTTAGTGTATTATTATTATATATGTAGCGATAATCGCCGAAAAGTCATTGCCAATGCCAAGTCTCTCGAGGGTAAATTTGGATGTTCCGGTGTTATTTTGTGTTATCTATCGGTTAAAACTCGCTGCTCGGTGCAACAGACTTCGGAGTTGCATTCGAAACTCCTTTTTAGTTATTTTTTTAAATTAAAGTTTGCAGATTTTTCGAATTAACCGACGTACGAGGATTCAATTATGAACGTGCATTGCTACTTGCTGGTTGCTTTGGCAACTTTGTCGTCGGTTCAGTCGCAGTCCGTGCTGAATTGGTTCTGGGGCAGCGGTGAATCCCAGGCGGTCGTATCCGATGGAGTGCCACTGATCTCCATACCCTACGAATCGCTCACCGAGGATGAAAAATTCCTCAAAGAGGCCTCCAAGTTTGTCACCGACATCCAGGTATCATCCCCGTTGGAAGTATGTCAGCACAAAGTCATAATGAAGATCAAGACTTCCTGTAGTAGCATGTCCGAGGAACAGCTGGCTAAATTAAGTGTTAATCTTCTAAATTGTCAATCCGAGAACGAAGGAAGAAGAACCTTTCCTTGCACAGATGGAATGGTGAGTTTTATTCAGTTTTATTTGAATTCTATTGTTACACAACATAAGTTTATTCGGATTTTTCTACTGATGTTAACTGCCATGCCTAGACTTCTTGTGCAGGTTCAAACTTGTACGAACTCTTCCCCCTCTTATTGCTCAACCCCTAAAAAATGATTCATCCAGCCTTTGATCCGTGAACTACTTGTTAGTCTCTTTTAAACTGCGAGACCTGTTGCAGCTTGTTCCTCTGCTGAATCATGACTTTCAAACATTTTCAAATAAATATTCTGATAGATAAATTTTTCAACTAAATTATTTATTTACTTTAAAAAATTTAATGATGTATCTTACTATTTTTAATTTTTTTTTCAGACTATCAAAGAATGTACTTCTAATATGGATGCTGATACATGGAATGCCTATCATTTAATGAGTAACAGAGCAAGAGCAGTATGTTACGCATCAAGAAGTAACCAGTTTCGAGCACTAACAGAAATAACAGTCAATAGATTAATGCAGTCAGCTCATAATCAAATCAAGACTTTGGATTCTCTAAAGGTGAAAAAAATGTCATTTTATGATATAAAAACTTGAATTTAAATAACTAATCTTTCTTTAATATTTAAATTTTTTTAGGAAAGTCAAGATCGTCTTGAAGAACAGACAACTAATGCCCACAAAATCATAGAGACTAACATTGAAGATTTAACTAAAGAAAAAGCCTTGATACGAATTGGTCATGATCAACTAGCTGCCATGACTGAAGACATTAAGAATAGATTGGGTAAATATTTTTTACTAGAATTGTTGAATTTATCATACCTTTGAATTGAAACTAACTTGTCTAAAATTTAGAAAAAGCGAGTCAAGAGTTGGAAAACCAAGCAGCTGAACGAAGTCTAAACCACGAAGAACTTATATCAGATCTAGAAAATATTCAGATGCAAGCTAGAGAACTTTGGAACAAAATTGAAAACAGCACTGATAGAATTATTGCCCAAAATAATGCAGCAGCTGCTCAATATGAGCAAACAATGCTTAAACTTGAAAGAATGAATGAAACCATTGTATTTCTGTCTGATTTGACGGATAAAATGCGTGTTGAAGTAGATGAAAAGTTGGGTTGGATTAAACAATACATTGGTTCAACTGGAGAACATTTGGAAAAAATTTACCGTATTACTCTGCATGTGATTTACTTACTTGGTGCTATGGTGGTAGCAGCTTTCCTTCATGCTCCATTCTTAACTCGAACTGCAATCATGGGAATAATCCCCTTAAATTTAGCATCGTATTTGAAACATGGGTTGACCGCCTGCCTCGACTTTTACAGTCTGACTGTTTTAATAATTTTGATAACAACAAGTAAGTAGTTTATTTTGGATATATTTTGTAATTTTGTAGGTAAATTTAAAACTTTCATTGTTCCATTTCAGTGCATTATATTATGAATGCAATTCAATACTTGCTACGTTCTAAATCTTCATCTGAATTAACAAAAGAAGATATCAAAAAAATTTATAAGACACTTCACCCCGATGAAATGAATTCCAATCAAAAAATGAGTACAAAAGATTTTCCAGATGGAAATGAAAAAGAGAATATCTTCAAAAGAGTGGGACACAACATCCATAGTTTAATTTATTCTATACACAGACAGATAAATTATAACATTGGTAAAGGGTGATTTTAAATTGAGTTTTTTAAAAATCATCTATTTAATTAACGATCTCAAACTTATTACAGTAAACATGAAAATTAAATTCAAATCATTGAGGCGCTGGATTTGGGTGAAATTTACGCCAACCGAAGAATTATCTTGTTCGTACTTGCCGGCGAAAACTTATCAAGAATGCATCATTAGAAGTACAAATGCAAATATTTCCATCTCCGACGATGGGAGTGATTTTGAGGAGTATCATGGAACCGACAGGTTTGTTGATGATGACTACAGTGTGAGTGGTGCTGTTTTAAAACATAGAGACTTGGATAAATTCACATCGCCTCTAACAACTTATACCTCTAATATTCGCAACCCTGACGTAGTCACGAGTCGCACGACGAATCGAGCGAAACCTAAGATAATCTCTGACAGGTATTTTTTCACTAAAACTTACTAATAGTTTGTTGCTTTTTAAAAACTAATAATCACTAAATTTACTGGTACTAATTATTTTTTAAAGTGAATTATTTCAACTAACAATTTAACAGCTATCGGTCAATATTTTCAATTGATTCCTTATTTTCAGCATTTTAACACCAGCCACTAGACCACTGTGTGGAGCAAGAACGAGGAGTGGAAATCCCTGCAGATTGTTATCATCGAAAGGACAAAATTTTTGTCACAGGCATGCGACAGGAGGTTCTGTGATAGGTGATTAGTTAAATCTCAATTGTTTTTTTTCTTACTTTTCTTTACAAGTTGATACATGTAATTATGATCATTGTTATTGTGTGAAACAATTTATCTTTAAGTAGTATCATTAATAATTGTAATCAATTTTGACGCAATTGTTTTGCGTGTTGTCCACTGCATGTGCGCATATTTACAAATACGCATAATAATTATTTTTGTATATACACTTTTTAATCGTATCGGTGCAAGGATAACGAAGGTAGCCTCTCGAATCCTCAATCTATTCATATAATGTTCCTCTTTTTTTGTTCATCATTGTTATTTATGTGATCAGCTTTTGACTTGAGCGAAACACGATCGTTTTAATTATACAGTTGTACTACTTATTGTCGTGCAAACAAATATTTTCAAAATAAGCCGCCACATCGTATAAATAATCTTTTTTAAAACAGTTATATTGTAATATTAGTTTATATTATAATGAATTCATAATAAATGAAATTAAAAACGCTTTAAAAAAAATTAGTCGTTGTATAAACTCTGAAAATGTCTATACTGATAACTAGATAAGGGAATGTAATCCAATTAGAGTTTTTTAATTAAAAGAATGACCAATTCCGTGGTGTGTATCACGAATGCGAGGCTTCATTTTTTAGTCGATAATTTTTCACCGTATATACCAATTTCAGCCACGGCAACGTGCGTGTAGTTATAAAAAAAATTAATGAGATAAGTTTCTTGGGAATGAATCATGTATCGTTGCGGCCACACGTGCATTAATTACTTTATCATTGTCGACGTTATTTCACCTCCGTTCAATTTGTGTGCGTTTTTGTTTTTCCTTCATCGTCGAGATGAAATTTTTCAACGTGACCATCATGTTATATTCATAGGTGTGATAATTGTATATTAAGGTATATGAAATTAGATAGGAATATATTTAAATATTTTTTATAGTATCTCATTGTAAATGAAAGTAAAACTTTGTTTTGTAACTTATGAAAAACGAACGAATAAACGATATATTTACGAAATATCGATCTTTTATTCTCCAATTATTTAATATTAATACAGACTTTTGTTTTGCAGTTCGATTTTACGTTCGAAATTCATTCTGTAATGATAAAATTCGAGAGACAAAAAAAAATTTACAACACAATACGTTCTTACACTTATACACATGCGGTAAAACATCAACGAGTTAAATTATTTGGTACACAACACAACACACGCGCGCGCAAACAAACAGAACAGATCATAGAGTTGACTTCGGTTAAATATTTGACAAACGATAACACTTGACATTTATTAAGTTTTAATAACTAGAATTCGCCTTCGTTCTGCTTTAAAAAAAATGTAAATTACTTAAAATAACACTGGGATTGCGTAACATTAATGGTAATCGTTGGATTAAAACAATCCAAAGTAGTTATACAGTAAATACTTTGTATATAGCACATCTCCATTCATTCCCGGATATGAGAGATCATTCGTTACGGAATAAAGTTACATTATAATAATATAGATAATATTCACACTTTGAGCCTTTTTTTCCGTCTTACTCGAGTTGAAATAAAAAAAGGATTGACATTCACTGGTCGGCATCGTTTCGGTATAGTTACACATAGAATGAAATTTATCGTTACATCAATTCAGCGTAGATGCCTCGTCGTTCGGTATGTCGATCAGTCCGGCCTTGTGCCAGTAGTACGTGGGCGGGCCGGGCGTGAAGCACCAGGCGTCCAGCAGCGGCTCGTCGTTCTCCACCCAGTACATCATGTAAAAGTTGCACATCTCGTCCTTGTTCGTGCCGCCCACGTAGGTCCAGGTGTCGCGGTCGCTCCGCATCGTGCACCTGGCCGCCAACGTATCCCCCATCTCCACCGTGCCCCTATAGCTCGTCTCGTAGAACATCTGCGGCGTCAGAGGGTCGCGTTTGCCCAGCTCGATCCATCTCCTACCCCCGTCCTTGATCACGTAGCCCGAGACGACGCGACCCAGCGAGTGGGTGTGCGTGCGATAGGCGAACGGATGCAGCGTCTTGTTCTCGCTGATCTTGCAGGCGGCCTCCATGAGCTCGACGCTGTGAGGGGGGATGCTGCCGCCCGTGCCGAGGGTCTGGACGCCGGCGAGTTTGCTCTGGGGCCGACGAGTGATCAGCAGGGTCACGCCCGAGTCGTCGGTCGAGCCGTCGGCGAACCGGTCGATGTGCGCGTAATGGACCTGGAGCACGAGGTACTTGACGCGCGACTTGGCGCCGACCTTGAAGCCAACGTCGGGCGGGAGGATGAAGCTGGGCGCGTCTCGGGCCCAGGCGTAAATTATCTGCGAAGAAGTTTCATCGTTACTCGTTCGTGTGTAAAGGTAGACAAAATGAAAAAAAAATCGTTAGTGAAAATATTGGTCTTGCGTAAATACTTGAACCCTTTGTCGACCAAAATCATCATCAAAAATTCTGAAGAAAATTGGAGGATGTTTCAAGATCAATGCAAAGACATTTTCGTTCCATAAACATTTCTTCTAAATTAATTAACTCTAAACATATTGAGAATTAAAAATTACTAAAAATTTTTTGCTAGTTAGTCAAATAAGTTTACTTTTGTAAAGCGAAAAGTATAAAATTTGCTGTGAAATAGTAATAATTGCGCAGTTCACACTGTTTCAAAGTGTTTTGAGCACAAATTGTACTTTTGGAAAAAGTGCAGGGAGCTCAGTTTACACTTTTCAAAAGTGTTTCAAGCACAGATTACACTTTTTCAGCTGTGATGAATATCCAAACAGTTTTCCAAGAAAATTTTATACTATTTGGTTTTCGGTGTAGAAGAAATGTTCATATAGTGTAAGTGTGTTAGAATCGATTAAGAAGTATCATCAAATGTTTTCAAAATTGTTTACGATAATTTTGGTCGTCAATAATTTCACAGTCAATATTTTTTACTGCAAAGTCTCTTAAAAGCAACTTACAATTCCATTTTTTTAGGGTTTCGCATCTCGATATTTTTTTCCTGAATCACCTCGCACAATTAATTACAAGATATACTCACCTCGGAATCTTCGTCGCAGGGCCCGGCGGACGCCAGACGCGGATCGGCGTGGGCCATCTCGCCGCAGTTCCACACGGGCTTACGGCTGCCGGGCTTGCCGCAGCCGTAGAGGATGATGTGGTGGGCCGTGTTCATGGTGGCGTTGGGCTCGAAGCCCGTGATGTAGTAGGTGCTCGCCGGGTCGATTTTCACCGGCGTGCACAGATACGACTCCGGCTGGAGGAGGAAAAAATGTTTTTTTTTTTTTAAATATCATCATTTTAGCCAAGTTACGGTATCGCTCCTTAATTTAATTGTGTCGCTACTACGTGCTTTTGCGCTCATGAAATCGCACGATATAAATAGGATAGACGCGTATCGATGATAAGAAAGCTTTTTTTTTGCAATTAAGTCGATTGAGGTCGGGAACATATGGCGAATTTTCGGCGTTATTTTTTCAGTACGCGCGAGAGATGGAAAAATAAGGAAAATTTCGTTCGGTACAAGCTCCGCTCAGACAGTGATAATCGAGAAAATCGCAAATCATGGCCTCGATCGATTTTAGCTTCCAACCAATGGCTCAATCAATACAATATTTTAAGACATAATTGCTCAGTTCGACATATTCAAAATTTTACGCCCTCGCAATGTTATCGCACTCAAAAGCTAACGGTAACATTACACGCGTCTTGACAGCGAGCGATACGTGTGGGTATTTTTTTTTTCATTTCTTGTAAAACATTCGCGCGAAACGAGGAAAACATCGATGTACATAAGTATAAGCAATCCGATTATTTTCCTCTCGAATGCATCCTCACGTCTCGCGCGCGCGAGCTGCAAGAGATGAATAGAAAAAAAAATAAAATAAAATAATACACTTACGACATTGGGTCGAACGTTGGGCATGAAGAACGGGAATCTCTCCACCTGTGCGTCCGCTGCTGCTGCATCGCTGCATCTCGCGAGAATCGACAACAGGACGCAGACGGACGACACCGCGTTGATGATCATCTTCGGCACTCACCTTCGTCGCGCGCGATTATCGAAAAAAAACCAACTACTACGCTTTTTTTGGCTCTCTTCACATTTGAATGAATTTGTATACGACTCCTGATCTCGCACCTCTACGTCTCCGAGCGATTGGACACTGCGTGAAAGTTCGTATGTTATGTTTTAGTCGGAGAGACCGACTGAGCTGATGCTGCTGCTGCGATGCGTGCGTTTGACGTCAAGACATATACATACATATAGATTGTGCTGCTGCTCTGCTGGCCGCTATTGATCGCGTCTCGCGGTGTGTATACGGCGGCACTGGCACTGTACAAAAGACCATATAGGTATTGTCGTATACGCACGCCCCCACTTTCGTCACGATTCAGCTGTTGCGCATACGTAGGTGTATATTAGTCGGTCCTATTGTTATATATATTATGTACATGCGATGCGAGAGGAAAAAGAGTTGGGTGTTGTTTTACGGATTCGGTATGATAAAAGTTACGAGTAAAAAAATAAAAGTAACTCTTATCGAAGCGGTACTTTTTTTTATTAATCGCTGCGCGTTGATTACGCAAAAATGCGCAATGCGATGGTGAGGGAAGCTTGTTGCGTTTTTGGAAACTTTGAAAAAGCACGGTGATGGTGTTTCATTAAATCGGTCGTAATTTTTATTAATTTTCATTGTTTATGATAATAAGCTAAGGATCTGTTGATCATTTGTAGGTAAATTAGAAAAATATAATCATAGCTGGATAATAGTCTGATCTCTGAATTATCGACGTCGATTTAATGTAATGATGAACGTAGATACCTATAAATTCTACACGATACGATTCGACTTATGTTAGTTATAATGTAAGTTTGTCGATTGAAACTTTGAAAAATAATTATCATTATTATTAGTGAAGAAAGAACCAATTATTTATGACAGTAAACAAGAATTTCAATTAAAAAGATTCGATTTAAAGGTACTACATTTTCTAACACTTATTGAACGAACTAAGCTATAATGTTTATTCGATTTTTCATTATTCAAACAATTTTGAATCTTACAAAATTTCGTCTGTTTTATATAATACTTATAATTACCATCTATATCCATGCTCAATTTGAGGTCTTAATATTTATCAATAAAAATTATGGTCATTTACAAAAAAAAGTTTACACATGTCTTTTTGCTAAAGATAAAGAGATGAATTGAAGTTTTCCTAATTCTTTATACACATTTCTTCGAACATTTTTAACATTCTGAAAAGAATCCGATCGAAAAGTTCATCATTTTTTTATTGTTGAAGAATCAAATTGAGCTCATTACTACTGTTTTTTCATCTTGAACGTCATTTTTAGGTATGAAATAGCAAGATAACATAACGAAGGATAAATTTGTTGCATCGAATGATTATTTTCGAAAAAGTCTCCTAATTTCACATACAATATACTAGACGCTGTTTTATACAACATTGAACATACGTTTGATCAATTTATTTCGCGCTAATGCGTGGGTGATGTACTATTTGGTGGTCTTTGAGATTTCTTTTCTGTCCGAACGTCTTTCCGCATGTCTCGCATGCATAAGTAATACCATTATGCGACAATTTGACATGCTTACGGAGTTGAGTTTGATATTTCAATTTTTTTTCACAGAAATCACATGGATGGGTGATTCCATTGTGCTCCGCATCCATATGCTTTTTGAGACTACTCTTGTCTGAGAATGTCTTTTGGCATATATCACATGGATGCGTGATTTTACGATGTGCCGATTGTATGTGGATTTTGAGACTCGTTTTCTGTGTGAATGTCTTTTGGCATATATCGCATGCATGCCGAACATGATTATGCACCGAATCGATGTGCCTATTGAGATCACTATTTTTTGAGAAGGTATTTTGGCATATATCACATGCATGCCTTATTTTATGATGCACCGAATCGATGTGATTTCTAAGATTACTCTTGGATGAGAATGTCTTTTGGCATATATCGCATGGATGCGTGATTTTACGATGCACCGAATCGATGTGTCTTTGAAGATCACTCTTATATCTGAATGATTTTCCACATTCATCACATCGATACCTTATTTTACGATGCACCAAATCGATGTGTATTTTGAGATTATTCTTATGTCTGAATGATTTTTTGCATACACCACATGCATGTGTAATTCCATTATGCATAGTATCAATGTGAGTTTTGAGCCTATGTTTATAATTTAGCTCGTTTGAAACAGTTCCTTTTTCATTTTTCTCGCTGAGTCCACGTCCGAAATTCAAATCAGTTTCTTCTTCGTTAAAAATTTCTTTCTTCAGCACCGCGACAGTTTCTAATTTAATTTTGCTTCTATTTTTATACTCATCGCTATCCGGACATTGATTGGGAGAATAAATTTCAATTTTCGCAACACCTAATAAATTGGGCTTCATGTCTGTACATTCCAATTCGATTTGAATGTCGTCAAGCTTATTTTCTTGAAACTCTTGGGTCTGAAAAAGATTAAAGTTATGAGGGAAGGATCATTAAAACTTAACTGCTACAGTCGCCAATAATTATTAAATCTTACCGAGTTTTCTTGGCGGTACCTTCCGTACTTGACATTTTCAGTTACGGGTATCGCATCGATTGTTTCATAATTATTTTGGGTAATCAAATAATCACAAGGCTCGACTTTCACTCTGAAATAATATTAATTAGATCATAAAATTACTTTTTAATATTTTTATGACTCATCCTAACGAAATAAAAATCACCTAACAGCAGGATTGAATAAACCACCAGTTTCCATCTTACTCGTTGGAAATGTCTTTTGCGACTCACTCTGTCAATACTACCGTTACGAGTCGAAATAGAACTCAAACTGATCTCAATAATATTTACTAATCATGATATGGGGAAATAGGAATCAATATAATCGGGGCAATATTACACTCTATCTAAACAACAATAATTTTTCCACAAATAATATTTTAGCACGAAGAAATTAAAAATTAGAAATCAAAAGTTAGTTTCTTATAATTGATAAAATAACGAAAAAAAGGCTAATGGCTAATCGTTTTTTGATAATATATCATTCGGTGTAAATGTAAAGTCATAAACTACCTTTACCTCACACGTGACATCAGCACCTGGACTATTTGTCACTCGTACTTTTAAATCAATCGATGTCACTATACCCAATACGGTTACTTTTGCAAGTGAATCTGAATACGATAATCAGACAAATAAGACACTTGTCGCAAGCAAAATCCAAGTGTACTTAGATTACAATCAATCTGTAGTCGCTCGAGAGCATCGAATGTGGCCGCAGCCTACTGGTCTGCCGCAGAATCGATCCGCCCTCGTCACTGTCACTTTTCGATGCGAGTGCATACTAATATTGCTACTAATAGAAAATATGCAGTATTAGAAAACTATTCGAAAATATATAGTTAATTAGAAAAATGAAATCACAGCTGGATAACAGTTTTTTATCAATTAGATTTTATTATAATGATAAATGTAAGTTTCTATATATTCAACATGATACAATTCGAGTCATTATGTTAGTTATAATGTAAGTTTGTCGATTGAAACTTTGAAAAATAATTATAATCATTACTAATAAATGTCGACACTATTATTTATTGCAGTAAACAAAAATGAGAATTAACAAGATTCGATTTAAAGGTATTACATTTTCCAACACTGATTGAACGAACGAAGCTATAATGTTTATTCAATTTTTCATTATTCAAACAATTTTGAATCTTACAAAATTTCGTCTTTTTTATATAATACTTATAATTATCATCTATATCCATGCTCAATTTGAGGTCTGAATATTTATCAATAAAAATTATGGTCATTTACAAAGAAAAGTTTACACATGTCTTTTTGCTAAAGATAGAGAGATGAATTGAAGTTTTCCTATTTCTTTATACACATTTTTTCGAACATTTTTAATATTCTGAAAAGAATCCGATCGAAAAGTTCATCATTTTTTTATTATTTAAGAATCAAATTGAGCTCATTACTACTGTTTTGACATCTTAAACGTTATTTTTAGGTATGAAATAGCAAGATAACATAACGAAAGATAAATTTGTTGCATTGAATCATTATTTTCAAATAAGTCTCCTAATGTCACAAACAATATACTAGACGCTGTTTTATACAACATTGAACATACGTTTGATGAATTTATTTCGCGCTAATGCGTGAGTCATGTGCAATTTGGTGGTCTTTGAGATTTGTTTTCTGTCCGAACGTCTTGCCGCATGTCTCGCATGCATGAGTAATACCATTATGCGACAATTTGACATGCTTACGGAGTTGAGTTTGATATTTAAATTTTTTTTCACAGAAATCACATGGATGGGTGATTCCATTGTGCTCCGCATCCATATGCCTTTTGAGACTACTCTTGTCTGAGAACATCTTTTGGCATTTATTACATGGATGAGTAATTTTATGATGTATCGATTCGATGTGAGTTGTGAGGTGGTCTTTTCGAGTGAATGTCTTTCCACAAATGTCACATGCATGTCTAACACCATTATGCACCGAATCGATGTGCTTTCTAAGATTACTCTTGTCTGAAAATGTCTTTTGGCATATATCGCATGAATGCGTGATTTTACGATGTAACGAATTGATGTGTCTTTGGAGATGAGTCTTACATCTGAATGATTTTCCACATTCATCACATCGATACGTAATTTTATGATGGACCGAATGGACGTGAGTTTTGAGATCGCCACTTCGTTTATAAACATTTCCGCATATATCGCATGCATGTCTGACACCATTATGCACCGAATCGATGTGATTTCTAAGACTACTCTTGGATGAGAATGTCTTTTGGCATATATCGCATTCATGCCTTATTTTACGATGTACCGAATCGATGTGTCTTTGGAGATGACTCTTATATCCGAATGATTTTCTACATAAATCACATGCAGGTGTGATATTGACATTACGGGCTGATTCAGTGTTAGTTTTTAGCTTATGTTCGCAGTTCACCTCTTTTGAAACACTTTCTGTTTCATTTTTCTCGCTGAGTCCACGTCGGAAATTCAAATCAGTGTCTTCTTTACCAAAAACTTCTTTCTTCACTGTCCCGACAGTTTCGAGTTTTATTTTGCTTCCGTTTTTATAAACATCGCTATCCTGACATTGATTGGGAGAAAAAACTGCATTTTTCGCAACTGCTAATAAATTGAGCTTCATGTCTCTACATTCCATTTCTATTTTCGGGTCGTCAAGTTCATTTTTATGATTTTCGTCGTATTCTTGAAAAAGCTCTTGTATCTGAAAAAAATACATTATTAGGAAAATTTCATCAATGATAGTCACACGTAGTTATTAACGCTTACTGAATTTTCTTGCCGAGACATCACGTATTTAACATTTTGAGTAACGGGTGTTGTGTCAATTATTTTGTAATCATTATAATCATTGAAAGGTTCATCAAGAGGCTCATCTTTCACTCTGAAATAGATTGGATAAGATTACATGATTATGTTTAAATATTTTCGTATTTTCATACTCAAAATAAAACTTACCTAATAGTAGGATTGAATACGTTGCTCGAGTCCATCTTGCTGGCTGGAAATGTTATTTGCGACTAAATCAGTTCAATAACATTTACAAATCATGATGTGGAAATTGGAACCAGTATATAAACGAAGCAACTCAAGTTTCATAACAATTGGCAAATTACGTTATCGATCTACCTAATGAATAATAATTATTTTTCTAATCATAATATTTTATTTTCAAAGAAATCAAAAAAATATAAAAATGAGTTCATGAGCATTAATTATTTTATGTTCTAAAAAATGGAAGGATAATGATTCGTCCGCATGAAATGGATTCGATGAGTTGATTATGAAATTGGAATTACGGTTCTTTATACTCCGAGTCACATCCTTTAAGAAAGCCGAATACTACCTCCCAAGCTGACAAATTTAACTCGGCAGCAATACTTTCGAAGTTCGGAGC